ATTCTTTTCAGAGGATGATATCACAGATCTACATCTACATTTTATTTAAGTCTATCAAAGGGAAGACCCATCACCAATGGTAATAAGGCAAACAGAAAAAGAAAAAACCAATTACATAGGAAAAGTTATTCTTTGTCACACAATGAAAAGCATCACTACTATTACCAGAGAGAAAAAATAAGCTAAAAATTTTCTTTTATTCAATCAAACCTTTGTTACTCCTAGATATTGTATACTCATGGATCCTTCCTTGATTATTTACAGAATGAGATAAATGCTGAAAGATGTACCCATATTTAGGAAAACCAAACTGGAATTAGAAATTAAATTTCCAAATTGTTTGTTAAAAATGTATAGTTATTTTGGAGATGTTTTCCAACAAGTGAGTCAGTTTTGTTAAGTAAAATGTTCATACTTCAGAATATTTAGAATTGTAAATCAACCATATTTTTTCCCGTGTACTATTCCTTGTAACATGTTAAAATTTTCAGTAGTTTCTTGCATAACTTAACACCATGTCATGCAACACATGATGCCTTTATGAATAAATACCTGATATACACATGTCCAATACTTTATACTTTGCATTTCTCAAGACATGAGCTTGGGATGCCTTTCAATAAATAATAAAGAACTTTAGGCCTGATCATAAATGAAATAAGCCCCTGCCCCCCACCCCCCTCTTGAAAACATGAAAATAGGCCAGAATGAAATAGACAAACATCTGAAAAAATAACATTAAAAAACTGCAAAATCCCAAGAAAAGGAAGGAGGCCTGCCTTTTCTGGACTGGTTCCCAATCCACCCATGATTTGCAGCTGAAAACACATTATAGATAAACAACTTACTGATTTAACAACTTAGTGCCAGAGGCATACTTCCCAGTATCAGCAATAAAATAAAACTTTTCAATGTCCATTCTTCACTGCATCATATACGCGTGATCTACCTTGGTCTGTAATCTCGTTCTCACTAAGGTTCAACTCAGTGAGTTTACAATGTTCATCTTTTAATGCATCACACAAGGGTGGTACACTCTGGTCTGTAATCTTGTTCCTAGCAAGGTTCAACTTAGTGAGTTTACAATGTTCATCTTTTAATGCATCACACAAGGGTGGTACACCTTGGTCTGTAATCTCGTTTTCAGCAAGGTCCAACTTAGTGAGTTTACAATGTTCATCTTTTAATGCATCACACAAGAGTGATACACCTTGGTCTGGAACCTCGTTCCAAACAAGGTTCAATGCAGTGAGTTTGCAATGTTCATCTTTTAATGCATCACACAAGTGTGATACACCTTCTTCTGTAATGTTGTTCCAACCAAGGTTCAACTCAGTGAGTCTGCAATGTTCATCTTTTAGTGCATCACACAAGAGTGATACACCTTGGTCTTTAATGTTGTTCCAATCAAGGTACAACTCAGTGAGTTTGCAAAATTCGTCTTTTAATGCATCACACAAGCGTGATAGACCTTGGTATGTAAAGTTGTTCCAATTAAGGTTCATCTCAGTGAGTTTGCAATGTTTATCTTTGAGTGCATCACACAAGAGTGATACACCTTGGTCTGTAACATTGTTCCTATCAAGGTTCAACTCAGTGAGTTTGCAATGTTCATCTTTTAGTGCATCACACAAGAGTCGTACACCTTGTTCTGCAATCTTGTTCCAAGCAAGGTTCAACTCAGTGAGTTTGCAATGTTCATCTTTTAGTGCAGCACATAAGAGTGGTACATCTTCGTCTGTAATATTGTTCCTATTAAGGTTCAACTCAGTGAGTTTGCAGTGTTCATCTTTTAGCGCATCACACAAGAGTGATACACCTTGGTTTGTAATATCATTGTTATCAAGGTTCAACTCAGTGAGTTTGCAATGTTCATCTTTTAATGCATCACACAAGTGTGATACACCTTGGTCTGTAATCTTGTTGCAACCAAGGTTCAACCCAGTGAGTTTGCAATGTTCATCTTTTAGTGCATCACACAAGAGTGATACACCTTG